AAATTTGTGATGTAGCCAGCACTTTCTGAATTGGGGTGGGTGGGTGGGGGGGAAATTCATTTATAAAATAAAAGTTCAGACTTTGGAATGTAAATGGGAAAATGGAATTTTTCTTGGCCGGATATGAATTAGTCCCAGGAGGATACTGTAACATCTTGACCATAAAATACATTTTAAAAACCTGATGAGAAAGTTTCCAGATTGCTAATGAAACCTCCTTGGCTGGTCTCTATTTAGGTAAATCGTGCAGGTAGGAAACGCGCTTAACGGGCTTTGCCGTCTCTGCCTTGAACTTGGTGCTTCTTGTACAAGGGCGAACCCAGGTTAATGATTCCATTTGAAACGGGTCTAGTCGGCGACAAACAGAAAGATCATTCTTACTCAGTGGAAGAAACATCAGGAAGACAGGTTTTACAGACCCGCAATTACCAGTTACCATGAAAATCTTCTCCTTCAACAAACAGGGTCGAGTTTCCTGTGACATGCGCACCCCGTGCTGATCCTGGTAGAAACGCAGCCATCTCCACAGCAGGCTCCCCACCGACTTCAAACCCCAGCGGCATTATTAAAATTTCTTAAAAAAAATAGGTAAGTAGGAAGCCCAAAGAGAGCTTTCACCCCGAGTGAGCGATTTCAATGTTATTTTACAAATCAGCCACTCGGGCTTCAGATGGCTTCAAATGGCCACTGCCCGGGGGGCCTGGGGCTAGGGAAGACCCCGTGCCGCCCACGCGTCTTCACCTCCAACGAAACACTGCGAGGATGTGGGAGGCCCCTCAGGAGGAGGGCAGGTGGCTGCTAACCCAGGTCAGCTTCTGCCCCAGGACACTGGACACCCCAGGTCTGTGGGGCTCCAGATGCTCTGGTCAGTGGAGGCGGAGAGCAGTGCTGTGCTGACCCCGGACGACCACCCTCCGCTCCTCACCGGCGGGACTCGGGGGGGGGACACTGACCAGACGGAGGGAGGCTGAGGACCCCAGAAAGTGTGTGGGTTGTTTCCTTTCTTCTCTCCCCTCCTCCTCCTCCTCCTTCTCTTCTCTGTCTCTCCTCCCCCCAGTCCCCAGAGCTGGGCCTGGCCCCGTGCTCCGCCGCTAAGCTACAGTCTTACCCCTTAACCTTGGAAAATCCTGCGATGACTATTTTTTGGTAACTAGTGCCTACACCGGGACCTATTCCCATCAGAGGTCTCCCGGGAATTCTGCTTTTCCGCATCGACACTCCCTATGTCCAGTTTCTGCAACAACAGGGGGGTCATGAGGGGGCTCCTGCAGGACAGGAGGTCCTCAAGAACCAAAGGCATGAGAACAGGGAGGCCCCGGAGAGGTGGGAGGCCCCGGGGAAGGGGCCGAGAGGCCAAAGCAGAGGGGTCCTGGCAGCCAGGGGCACAGCAGCTACCTGGGGAGGACAGCGTCAGGGTGCGAGGGGACAGGAAGTCTGCCCAGATTAAAGACTGTCGCCTCTTCCAACGGGACCTACTGTGAATCAGAAATTGGAGGCAAAGTCACCTGCGCAGGAGAGATGGAGCGAAAGAGTCTTGGAGCCAGGGAAGGGGTGGAGTGTGACCACCAGGCAGGCGGCGACACAGGCCACGCAGGTTAACTGGAGGGGAAGCCTGGGACTCACGTGCCAGAGCCTGCATTCAGACGTCGTCTACCAATTCACTCATCTTTAGAACCCACCAGGGTGTCCAGCTCGTAGTAGGTGCTCAGTTAATGCTCACAGAAAGGCAGAGGGCCAGCTCTGCCCGAAGCACTTTTAGTCCCTGGTCCAGCTCCCCGGGCACTAGCCCAGCACAGGCGCCAGTCACATGGTTCACGGACGGCCCAGGCCTACGCCCACCTCAGCATGCCAGGTGCCTGATGGTTTCTGCTGGCACTGACTTGGGCCACAAAGCAGTGACAGAGATGATGGATGTGAAATAACCACATGCCACGTGGCCGCAGCAGCTCAGGAAGTGGAGACAGCCCGGGATCAGTCGGCAAACCTGTCTGTCTCCTCTCCTGAGCCGTGAGCTGCTGCCTACCCAGGGTGGGTGGGGGTGGGGAACGCCCCAGGGGAAACTGAGGCTGAGGGGCAGCAACCCTGAGGTCACCTGCTACAGTGGACGCTGCCTCCATGGACTCCCAGGCCCTTGGGCTCAGACCTCCTCCCAATGTGCAGGGGGAGGGTGGAGGTGACACGCAGCAGTGGGGGTCACTTCTCTTGCGCTGACCGCCACACTGGGCCACCTGCGCCAGCTGCTAACGAGTGGACGATTTGAAAACGGAGAGGAACAGAGTGGGGGAGGTTGCAGAGGGAGCAGCCGGCTCCCGCAGGTCTGGATGGAGGGTTCCAGACGGGGAGGAAGCCCGGCTTGTCACGGCGAAGCCCATAAAGTCCACTCAGCATGCACCCCTGCGGGTGACAGTGGCGTGTGGGGGGGCAGAAGGATGTGATTCTGCAAGGTGTAAAGGAACGGGTCCCCACCTGCGCACGGGCTCAGAGGTGGCCCAGGGTGCAGCAAAGCGAGTCTCTGTGAGGTCAGTGCCTGGGTCTGGGGGAGGGGGCACAGGAGGGCACAAGGAGGTGGGGCGCAGGGTGGCCAGGGCCAGCCTGGAGCTGGAGCTGGAGAGAGCAGCCCCCACCCTGCCTGAGCCCCAGATGTGGCCACACC